AGAGAGGAGAGAGAGAGAGAGAGGACCTTTTTTCCCAAAGAAATCTCTGAATCTGAAGGCAAAGCCTGTATGTAGCTGCACATGAACGTACGCATCCTCTGCGCTGTCATCCTTCAAGTCCTCGGTTGCAATCGCAGCAATTGGACATGGCCTCAACACTCAAGGCTGTGCTCCATCTCGATTTCTATAAATTGTTACATGCGACATGACTGTGGCATGTAGGTATACACGTGCGTAGACATACACATACCTACACACATAAAATATAAACGCGTACATTAAGTGCGTGTATCTATGCATTCTCAGAACGAACAGATCTATTCCACATGTCTTTCTTTCGCCAGGGCTGTGGTGGGGAGTTGCCCCACATCTCTCTCAATCTCTCTTCCTTCCTTCCTTCTTCTTCAGGCCCGCGCAAACGGACCCATGCGGAGGCACCCCCCTCCCTCTTTGGTCTGTGAGACAAAGGGATTTGGGGAATTTGGGGTCAGTGGGATGTATTTCACCCTCGGCTTGTGCGTGTTGGACAGGTTGGTCGTCGTGGAACCTTCCCTGAACCCTGAACCGAGCCCGCATCCCGGCCTTGTCCCCACGCCCTCTATGGCTGGTCCTAGGTTCTTGCGACAACCACTTGCCCTTGTCGTCACCTAAGGTCGGCGGCTTCCCCCTTTCAACAGCGTCCAAGCGTCTGTAAACGTAGGGTGGTTCGACTGCGCAGAGTGTTTGGCATCGGGTTCAACAGGAGTTATATGAGTAAGGGCGTCAGGCCCCGGTACGGCACGTGGTCAATGGCTCAGCGGCCATTCAGGATTAGGGCATGAGTGTGTAGGCGAATCTTCCCCCCACATCCCACGCAAACTTGCAGACACGAATTTCACGGCTTCGGAAGGACAGTCACTGGTCATTACGCTCATTGAATCCTCGTCCCTCGTGTTGCTTTTGGCCATCATCCGCTGTGTCCCGAGGCTCGGCGGCCTTGTTGTCTGCACGGCTTGCGCTGAGGCTTGGGAGGTTCCTTTTCCCTTTTTGCAGGGTTTGCAGGAGAGCTCGTCATACAGCGGGACAGGGCTCGGCCTTCTCCAAGATCAACCAAGGATGTGGCATGCTCCTTCCCATACTGGCGGGCCACCTCCAGAGAGGGCCGCTGTCCGGTTCCGAAGGGCGCAAGAACCCTCGGGCCACTTGAAAGGAACAGCGGCGCCGCTCGGAAAGACACGAAGGCTCCCCCGAAGTGCAAAGCTTCGGGTTGAGCCCGCATCTCCCCCACGATGCACGGGGGCGGCACCGGCCCCCAAGCAAAGGTGCAGCACTTGAGCCAAAAAAGTTATTCTCTCTTCTCTCTCTTTCTCGCTGATTGTCTTTCTCAGAGCTTGGGGATGAGAACAAACTGCCGAAGGCCGATGAGCCAGGTCTCCGGAGGCTTCGCAGGCGCCGCTGGCTCAGGAATTCGGTGCGGAGGCGTGTCCAAAGGGACCTCCAGCGCTGGCATACATCTGTACGCACGTACATACATACATACATACAGACAGACAGACAGACAGGCAGGCAGACAGACAGACAGACAGACATGCGTGCATACATGCGTACATACACACATACACATACAGATATATACATATACATATACATATACATATACATATACATAAACGTATACACATACCGATACATATACATATACATGATTACGTATGTATGTATGTATGTATGTATGTGTGTATGTATGTATGTATGTATGTATGTATGTATGTATGTATGTATACTCACCTGTCTGCCTGTCTGTCTGTCTCTGTGTCCGTCCGTCCGTCTGTCCGTCTGTCTGTCTCGGTCTGTCGGTCGGTCGGCAAGTATGTATGCGTGTATGTATGTATGTATGTATGTATGTATGCATGCACGTGTATACATGTAATATGTGTATGTATGTGTACATGTCCACAGTCAATGATTTGATCTGGCAAATGCAGGTATACGTCAGGTGTCTGCACACGTGTAGTTTGCGTGGGTGTCTGTGTTTATGTCCTCCCTGTGTGACATATGCTGGCCGACGACCAGCCACCAGCCTCTCCGTCTGCGAACCGACGAATGGCGCGACGAGTTCCTGCGAAGTCTGCTGAGCCGCGGCTCAACAGCAACGGGGTATCTCGGAAGGACAATGGAAACCCGAGCACTACTGCATTCCTGTTTTGATGTTTGTCTGCCAGAGCTCATTGAAATTGATCTCATAGGCAAAGTAGTCGCTGTGGATCTGGCACGAAGAGACCCTCCCAAGAGAATCGTCCTCTCACATCCAAATCCACACTCGGGCAGCAACCACCCGCACTCCCAGCTTCAGGTCGGGATGGTCACCTAGGAAGTAACGGACATGGACTGCTTCACAGAGTGCATAAAAGTCCCTGGAAACTCACGCAAGTCGCAACTGTTGACACATGGACTTTGAACCCTTTCTGATCCCAGCGTGGCTTGTTTCCCGTTCCCTCTTCTACTTCTCGGTGCCTGCATCTCACGCTGCCATCACGGCGTGTTCAGTAGTGTCATATTCTAAACTGCCAAGCACCGATGAGCAGCAGTTTGCATTGCCACGGCATATTGCCCCTAGCAGCAGGAACCCCTAATCCATGGAATTCCCACACTATTCCCAGAAATTCCCGTTAGCTCATCTCGCCTGCATATTTTTGCCGAGGCACAGAACTGACGCCAGTACTTCTCCAGCCTCGCGGCGGCTGCGGCATCGTAGTCGTACCAGCCGACCTCCTTCCAGCCCAGGCTCAGTCGCATTTTTATCAATGCACGACTACGGGCACGGCTGTCGATTTGTGCAACTCGGACGGCTTGCTTTGCCAGGCCCAGCCTTGCCATCAATGGCATTGTGCATGTAGAACTGCCACCTACAATCCAGTGCGGCCCGTGGTCCATTCTCTGCTACTTCCTTCTTCACACCTGCCCTTGGCATGGCCGCTGCCGCTTGGTTCCAGGCTCACCAGCCTGTGCGTTTCCGCGACATGGGGCACACTCGAGACTCGAGACCCTAGCAAAGAGGAGCACATTGACTCAAGAAAGTAGCAAGGCAACGGTGCAGCCGTGAAAAGATGGACACGCAGGTGTTTGCCAATAGCAAGGACAAGAAGCGCGGCTGAAACATTGTTGCCCGCCTGTACTTGCCGGGCATCTCTTCAAAGGTCATGCCAAGTTGACCCCACACGTTGCCTCGTCTTGGGACAACGGACGTTTGAAGGAGCTGCAAGGAGCAGCGAGCTTCAGCAAGGAGTCGGTCTGGGTATCAGCCCATCAGCATAACGGAGATGTGCCAAGCTGCCTGTCTTCTGACGGTACTTCCTGCATCCGTCACGACGCAGTAGGCGTGGGTAGGTGGGGGCTAGGAGTGCGAACCCGGTCCAAGCCTTCGAAAGACTGCCTTGGCAGCGTGGAGCTCTTTGAAAGGACCATCCACGTGCACACGGCCTCCACGCCATCTGAGCTGAAGTCACCACCAGGTGACTTGCCGGTGACTCTGGGCTCCACACCATCTAGGCCTGTCCATCCCCAATGCTGCACCGCCCAGAATTCCGAGCCATCAGTGCTCGCCAGGAGTTGCCTCAGAGATATCTCCGCCCTCAAGCGCAGACCGGCCAGTCCAGCAGAGTGAGCACAGCACATGTTGTAGTACTTGTCCGTCCCCTTAAAGCCACAGTTGGGTCAAGTCTCAGAAACAATACCGGTTTGCCCGTCAAATTTGGCGAAGCAGCCTTGGCCGGATCGTTTAACACCAGCTCCTCGATATCATGAAGTAAGGGGCGATCGCTCAGCAGGAACATGCAAAAGGCTGAGCTTAAAGCTACATCCCACGTCAGAGTGCCCTTCATCATCAAACCTTTCCTCATCGACAGCTGCGGCTCATAATCTCATGGCTGAGTCAAAACTGGTACCAGAAGATCCATACATTGCAGAGAAGCGTCTTCGCTTGCTCTTGCACGACAGCAGCTTTGCCTGGCATCGCTGGTTCGCGGATGTTCGCGGATCGTGTACGCCTGCGCTATCCTGCGCTTTCACAGCAGCCTCCCAGCCCACTTTTTGCGATCACTGGGGCCTCCTTGGATCCCGAGCTGTCCTCTTAGAACCTACAACCGATCTCGGCCGCAGTCTCTAGGCTGCAGGATGAAAGCAGCAAGAGAAGCAAGAGCCAGGACCAAAGCTGCTAGACAACTTGTGAGCTTGCAGCCAAAAGTACCGTCGTGGCATATGCCACCGATGTGGAGGCAGTTGCGGAGGAACCCGTGGGCTCGGCCTCGTCCTGGCCCGAAACTGACACGGACACGCCTGGAAATCTCGAGAAACCCTGTGCCCTCCCGGCCTTCGCAATCCTGGCCTTCTTAGCCGGGCTTGCGGAGGCCTTTGCCGCCTGCTTTGTACGAGCGCTGGCGAGCATTGCGTCTGGAGAGCATGGAACATCCGTCGGCGCAAGTCTCTTGCCCACCTCCCGCTTTTTTGCGGGATCAGATGCCTTTCGCTTTGTCAACACAAGGAACCGATGACGAAGATGGCGCTTCACGACACATCCGCCTTGATGAGGAAGGTGCAATGATCGAGCAGCGACTTCGCTGCTATGCAACAGCCCAAGAAACCTGACAGCCATAGCAGCATAACCCAGCGGAGTTCATGCCAGTGGTGCTCAAACGTGCTGGTGCTGCAACACAATACAGTCAGATATGGCCTTCTTGCACGATTGGTGTTCCTCGCCCCTTGGCCAAAGCCACTTTGTGCGAATTGGCCTGCTCTTGGAAAGCACGCAGTCGTGGGCAAGAGTGACCCTCACATGTGCCTTCACGTCCTCGTCCGTAGAGACGAGGAACTGCACAGAAGTCGTGACGGTGGAGGAAACCTGGCACCAAGTTCCGGTGTGTTGCATCAGTGCCCGATGCGCTGACCTCTCCGCCATGACGACGAATCAACTCCTCGTATGCCTGTAGGGCCAAAAGTGCCCACAACAAGTTGCAGAGAGATCGTCACAACTATGCGACATCATGCAGGCAGACCTTCTGCGTCTGCGCCAGCTTGCCTCCAATGCAGATTTGAAGGACGCGCGTGAGCACAAAGACTATGATGCAACCTCCGAGCCTGACAATGCGAAGGTGATGCCTTTGAAGAACCTGGCGGCTCGACTGTCAGCACTTACATGTGAGGAATCTGGAAAAGTCGTCCAACACCGAACAAGCATTGACTTTACTGCGATCGCCAAACCGAGTCCAAGGTACTTTTTGGGGGGCATAGCCGGAGCATGAACCGTGGATAGAAAACTCTACCAATGGCACTCAGTCACGCTCCTGCTGCTCGTATGGGCGTGCTGGGCTACTGGGGGAGGATCTGTTTGTAACACTGCCATGACTGCACAGGCAGTTGGAGTTGTGCTGCTGCTGCTGCTGCTGCTGCTGCTGCTGGCCATGGTGACCCCGACGAGGATACTTGTCGTGACTGTTCGGGCTTATCTTGCTTGCATTATTGCTTCTCGATCAGCTTGTTGCAGTGGCTGCAGCGGTAGCATGATTCACCATTCAAGGCTTGAGCCTTGGCGAAGGCAGCTGACATGTTAGGCGGTGCGAAGTGTGTCTCTCCGCTCAGGCGGCAGCCAACCATATCCGTCATATCCATCGGACCTGAAGTCTGAACTCTTGAAAATCCCTGCTCTCACTCGCCAACGACCAGGAAGTGGGCACTGCTCGGAGACCGGAAACCTTGGGGCACTGACCAACTCCAGCGAGCCCAAGCCTGCAAACACGCAGAAACACACAGAAGTTCACGGCTTGTCTACGCAGTCTAGCCATGGCCACACACAGTACATCAGTCTTTGTATCGCTGCAAGATTTGAAGAAGGGCTACGAGCAAAGACTGAAGCTATTTTGCGCTGCTTGTCCCGTGCTCTAGGCTGAGACTTAGCCATGAAGCATGGCAGGCGTCCCCTGCTGAAAGGGCCTGGCCATCTGTGCCCATGGAAGGTGGAGCCACACGGCGTCAGAAACTTAAGCTGGTTTCTGGTGGCTGTGATGTATTTTCTGACCGGTCCAATGGAGGGCGAATTGTGCTCTTCATTCTATGACTCGATGATAGTTACATGTGGAGGTCAATGCAGGGTTTGAGCTGGCCAGCAAAGCTTGCGAAGCGAGGCTTCGACAAACGTAATCACAAGCCGTCGTCAAGCAACCTGCGGCATGCCGTGCTTTGATCGCTGGGCAGAAAAAGAAGCCGGCTGCGAGTTTCCGCGGCCTATCACTGCTCCGTGCTGCTACGGACTCCGACGGAACTATCAGCAAAGTGAGATGCTACCAGCACACGCGTAGGATGGAGTTGGCAGGAATGGCAGCACCCTCCAACCGAGAACGTCTCCACTGTCTGCCACGTCCAGGCATTCTGCCGTAGCTACTGCTCCGTGCCCATTGTGACCACCGAAGACATAAATGCTCAGTGTATTCGCCACGGGTCTGTTGTAGCAAAGGCTGACGCAGCCAAGTCGCGGCGTCGGCATGTCAGCAACAATTTCCCAGACGAAAGCAGCAATGTCCAGGCGCTCGACAGTGGCTAGTGCCCTGCCCCTGCCTGCATGACCACCGAAAACAAAGACTGACTTGCCAAAAGCCGCTGCTGAGCAACCCAGGCGCGGGGTTGGCATCGGCGGAAGCGGAGACCAGCGGTTGGATTGCACATGCAACATGTCGGCAGTAGAAAGGAAATCGCGCCACCTGCCACCTACTACGAAAAGTCGACTAGCTACTGAAGCTGCTGCGCAGGCGTCACGCCTGCATGGCATGTCCTCCAAGCCCTCCCACCAAAGGCTGGTGGAGACGTTTAATCGCTCTGTAACCGACAAGGCCTCCTCGTGCTGACAACCACCGAACACATACAAACAAGAGCCACACGAGGCAACCCCACAGGCCTCCCTGGGAGTTGGCATGTCTGGTACCGGCTCCCACAAATCCATCTCAACATCGTATCGCTCGACAGTCCCCAGCACATGACCTTCTTGCTGTCCACCGATCACGTAGATCTTTCCCATGCATTGCGCACCACTGCACCAGCGCCTCTCTGTAGGCATAGGCTGTCGGATGTCCCATGCATTCTGCCATGGGTCGTAGTGCTGCAAGCATGAGAGCTCAGCCCCTGCCAAACACCCGCCCACGACGAAGAATTGAGGACGCACCTTTTCAAGAGTTGACACGAACTTCGGATGTGCAGAATCAGTCTTGCTATCGCAAATCTGGCATGTCTGCACTCTGCACATCTGGCGCTTTGCTGGGGTTACGAGTACTGCTCCGAAGCTATCTGCGCACTGCGACGCGTCGAAGTACATGTCTTAAGTTGAACACAACAAGTACCAAGTACGAGTTGAGGCCAACTACCGTGAGGTCGCGGCCGCGCCTCGTCACAAAGTCTGGGAAGCATTTGCCGCATGCCTGGTGGCACAAGCATTTACACCCGTAAACTGTTCGGAGCCTGACGTATTAGGCTGGCAGCAATGGCTGGGTAGGAACCCTACGAGATAATATACGACGTATGAATATAAGCAGCCCGTGAACCCACGAACAAAAAACGAACCCGCCCCCCGCGAAGTCCGAGGGCTCCGCTGGCCCCGTGGCTTCGGCCAGCGCTGGCGAAGCGCTGGGCCGCCCGGAGCCCGGCAGCGAGGCCCAGGGCGCGGGCGAGCTCGGGGAGTTCCAGCAGCTCCTTTTTTCTCCGAGTAGAATCTCTATGGAATGTTCCGACTTGCACCATGAGGATTCTTGCAAGGGAAGGGTATGCTCATGCTTGCGAATGCGAGCACTGCAGCCGCCGCTGCCCGGACCACCTGCGCACCATCCTCATTCTCGCTTGCTCGCTTGCTCGCTTGCTTGCTCGCGCATGTTTTTCGCTCGTGCTCTTGCTTGCTTGCTGGCTTGCTAAGGGTTTGGGGACTGGGTCCCCTGGCCCGAGGTCCGCGCAGGTACGTCTGACAGGCCGGAACCCGATCCACAAAGAACACCCCTGCTAATGGAAAACCCTCAAGGCCACACTCAGGTCATCCAAGGGTCTTCCAGATAATTACTGCTATTGGAAAATTGATTTTGGCCAACATTATTTCAACAGTAAAGCAAAGTCACAAGGCATACAACTAGAACAACAGATAGTGCCCCCGCTCTCTCCGGAGCCCCCAGGTGGAGCCACGCCCTTGGCTGGCTGTCTGCACGGGTTCGAACGTCTTCACCAGTCTTTTGTGGGCTCTAGGGCTGTCTGAAAGACCGGCACGACTGCAAGTCTAGAGGTCTGCCCCGCGACTAGGACTAAGAAACAATAGAGACCATGTAAGGCCCCGACAACTTCAGGCTTCTTCCTAAACCGTCGCTCTCCCGCTCTCTCTGTCCCTCTCGCTCTGTTGCTCCCGCCCTACCCCTTCGGCCGCTCACGGCGAGCACCCATTGCAAGCGATCCCCTCACGAGCAAAGCTAAGGCCCCTGCCAGCAGCAAAGCTGCCTGCGCACACGGACTAACACCGCAGCTCGTGCCGGCACAAGTGCAAGAATAACACCAAGAGGGTCGCCCAAAACTAGGACATATCGCTGCAGCGTCTGTGCGCTTGCTAAACACGGAAACAAACCTGTGCCAAGAACTGCGACAAAACAGCAACTACAGCTTACAAGGCTCATCCCAACAACTGCACAGGCAACCACTGCAAACCACGGATCCGAAGGAGGCACAGCATGACAAACGACCACCATCACCACTGTTACAGTACAATAACTAGTTCGTTTCTATCTTGGTGATTACGGTGGCGATGGTTGTGGCGGCGGTGGTGTGATGGCAGCTCAGCAGTAGGAGGAAAGGCCATGATTGCAACTTGCTGGTGGGACCGAATACAAGCAAGAAATCTGCACAGGTCCCCTACGATCAACACCAGGATGAACACGACAAGCGACAGAGGCTTGCACAACAAGGAGTGTACTTGTTCGTAGTTTCGCTCCAATGATGGAATTTTCGAGCGGCTGGCGAGCAAAGGCCTGCATGTATGACTAAGCACGTATGCTGAAGTGCGATATCACGAAAACGAACCCATGCACAGAGCAGAAGCAAGAACATCAGATCCTAGGACATCCTAGGACCCCAGTACAAACCATTGAGTTCGTAAACGCTTCGGTAAAGATTCAAGGGGCAAAGGTGAGGCGTTTCAATTGGTGCCTGCAGCCGCGCTCGCCTGGCGGCCTGCTGCGTCAGGCTCTTCGCCAGGTCAATCTGCTCCAACTTACGGAGCCTCGGTCAAGGGAATTCCGATGAGATCCAACGTGTTACATGTTGCCACGCGCGTTGGCTGACCAAGCCGCGCCGCAGCACTGATGTGCAAGATCCAGGCCAGTTTTCCGTCTCTTAAGAAACGACACCAAGAGCTGGGAGGCACCAAAGGGAGGGCACTGTAAGCACCGCGAACTCGCGACTACAGAGGGAGCAACTTCTCAGCAACCGCGAGATTCAGTCCGTTAAGGCAGGATTGCACGTAGTAAACTTCGATTGCGCTCTATTTTATCGACTGCACACACCTACTCGTACCCCATTGGTCTCAAGATCGTCTTCTGTGAATTTCACTATCCGTACATATCTTGATACGGAGTTTGGAAGATCTTTTGCCTGGCAGACTCGCGCAAAGCGGGCACGGATCCACAGGTCTCCACGACTGCCACCAGCACAACTATAGTACCACGAGGCATACAACAGTAGTAAGTATAAAGGAGAGGTTCAAGGGCTGTATCCAAAACTGGCTGCCAAGACACGCGTAAAGCCAACCGAATGGCACATGTGAACAGAAACAACGGCATACTGAAGGAGAGCAACGCAAAGACTCGATGGCACTCTGCGCGGCCGAGATGCAACTCATCCTGTGCGGCGGTAACGGCCAGCGGCGCTGCTCCCAGCGTGGCACAGCCCGGGAGAGGTGCTGCCGGCAAGGGCTCAAGGCCAGCACCCATCCGCTCAAGCCATCCATGCTGCAGTGTGGGGAGTCTATATTATATTATATTATATTATATTATATTATATTATATTATATTATATTGTATTGTATTATATTATATTATATTATATTATATTATATTATCGACAACTGTCAGGGTGTAAACTTTTGCTTCGGAATGTGGTTAACTTCTTTGAATCGCTTTCAATGCCGGTCTGGTGATTCGCCTGTTTCAGGGTACATAGCTGATAGCTCTCACCCGAGATGGCAACTGCTGGAGCCGTGCAGGGCATCTTGGGTTGTGGTTCTAACATGTTGCAACAAAGGAGCTGACGTCGTTGTGTACAGAGTCAAGCATAAGGATCCACAATCTGGCCCTTAAATGGGCTCCGTAAGGTGGTGCAACCGAATTAGCCACCAGGGGGCAGATTAATTTGCCTGCGGCATCCACGCTGTCCGTGCCACTTGCCAACGATAACTGTGGGCCAAGCATTGCATCGCTGTACGGTGATCGGCAGCAGCAGCCCTAGGAATGCACGACAGCTGATGCCACTTGGCAGAAACATCGCTTGGTCTTCCCTGGCCATCTCGGGAATGACCCAATCCGGCAGAACAAAACCGAAACGAGCAAGGCGAGTTAGCACACCAATAAAAGGAATAGATGTAAAACTTAGCTGTCGATGTACGTCCGCACGGGGGCGTCCGCCTGAAGAGCACATGGAAGGCTTCATATTTACGAGACCCCAACTGCCACTTCGACATCGCCTGAAGCCATGTGAACTCAGCCAAGGCAGCATTGCAACGACGCCGCAAGATTTCCACGATTCGCATGGGGTGGCCTCTGCTGCCTGGCAAAGAAGTTGGATCCTATGCGGGGCTGAAGCACCTGCCTGCTTCCACGCCTAGATCACTCAAGCAGGTGCTGAAGAACTCCTGAACAAGCGAGCAAAGCCGCAAAGGCCGTAAAGGCGTGTGTTTGCCATTTTGCGTCGGTCCTCCAGCATCTTGCGAAGGAGGGCAGCATGAACGAGAGCAGCCAGTCGCAGCAAACGAGCCTGAACGATTATCTGGGTTGTCCGCTTGGCTGCTCTTCCCAGAAAGTTTCGGGGCCTCTATTGATGGAGGAGATGCAACGCCGCGAAAAGAAGCGGCGGCGAAGGTTACGGAGAAGACGGCCTGGTCCCAGAACCCAAGGCTGACGGAATTGTCCATGTCGGGAGATGTTTGGACCCTCCTCCAGCGGCTCCATGCCCTGATCCACCTCGACCTCGCTGAGACGGCCTTGAAGGCCCTCGAGCACCTGCAAGAAAGGACGCCACGCGGAGAGATGCCGCGGCGGGCCGGCTCCAGGTTGCCTCCGAGGCCAGGCAGAACAGGGCCTCCTTCTCCCAGACGGACACCTCAAGCAAAAAGGGCGGAAAAAACGCTGAATTTTCTGCTGAGCTTTGGAGCGGTTCACTGAGGCCAGGGGACCGGATTCAGGAGGTGGGGACGGCACAGCACTGCTTCCCGGAGCTCCGTCTGCCACTGCAGCATCTCCTGAGAAAGCCCAGAGGCGGATGGCTTTGAGTTACGTGGCACTCTTTCTGATTCTGATGTGCGGAGTCGCCAGGTTCGAGGAGAAGATGTCGCCGGCCATGCGATGGAGCCGAAGGCGCTTCTCCGCCTCCGTGTTGCCCTCCGGCTCTGGCTTCTCCTTGTGCCCATTTGCTCACTCGCTGTGCCCCGCTTTGCCCCGCTTTGTGCACCGGCTACGCCTGCCTCCCTGCGCTTGCGCTCGGGCCACTCGTCACCTTGAAACATGCGCTTGTGCCATCCAGCCCAAAGTGAGGGACGAGGCCTTTGGAGGCCGAGGTGCCCATGGTTTTTGCTCTCACGTTCAGCGCCTGCTGCAGCGACGCAGCAAGGCGCTGCGCGGCCTCGGTGAGTTGAAGCAGCTTGCAAACGAGAACTTCTAGCAGAGTCACCCTTTTCCAGGGACTGCACAACTGCACTGCACAACCCCCCCGTCCCGGGATTCCGGCCTCGAAGCCGTCACTGAGCACCATGACTGCGGCAGCACAGTTGAGCGCGGCCTGGCTGGCCATCTCCATGACCTCCCAGACGACGCAGCAACTCCAACGCGACAGGGAACATCGGTGTGAGGCTGACCAGGCGAGCAGACACACAAACCCCAAAAGGCTAATTACATTTGCTCGTTTTGGAACCCACTCTCTCGTGATTTCCTTGGCGGAAGTGCGTTCGACTGCTTCTTGCTTGCCCATTAGGACCATGAAGCAGCGCCTATATTGCGGAGTTCCGATGGCCGTGACAGGGGAGACTTCACCGTCACACTCTCGCGAAAGCCCAGGATTTGCATGAACAGCCCTTTACCAACGCGACAGCTGCTACTCTAACCCTTTCACCAACTCCCTCACTTCACTCATGTCCCGGACCTGCCCCTGGTCTTAGGGTCCACAGTGCGCCACAGGCCACTGGCGCCTCGTCGCCCAAGGTCTTGCCGGACTCCCCCCGAGGCTCCCAGAAGGCCTCGCTGTCCTTTGAGGGAAGGGCCGGTCTAACTCTTGTGCACAGGATAGCATACACACAATATAGCAGATTATTATACTACATACTGTATTACATTTACTGTACTATACTATACTTTATTAAATTGAATTAAATAGATTATGTCAGTATAGCGCTAGTTACGAGTGTTACAAGTACCTCGCCCTCAGTCTCTTAGGGCAAACGCGGCCAGAGCTCCGAGTACTCCATGGCTTGGTTGCTCGCCTTCCAGCCAATGTCGCACGCTTCGTTTCCCAGAGAGAGGGCTGACTTCATCCTGCCGAAGTGCTGCGACCCCGACACCCATCTAGTCGGTACTAACCATCAAAAATCCTCTCAGGCTCTAAGGACCGCAGTTGCATGCTATGCAACGAAATCTCTTGGTTGAACTTAGGGACCTTATGAGCCACGCAACCTTGAAGGGATCCCAAGCAGTGCCCCGGCTTAGAGAAGCAACCGCCAAAAAGCCCCAAGCCTGGCAAACGCTATGAAGACCTGCTGCTCTTGTCTGACGAGGTGCTGGGACATGCACTTCTTCGCGTTCCTCGTCACATTACCAAAGAGCTCCTCCGGCATAGTGGTACTTACGTCCAGCACTGCCAGCAGCAAAGGCAAGACCTGCGGCAAGTCGAACAAACAACAGCGAAACCGGCCATCGGCCGGCTGGTGCTCAAATCTTGCGGCATCTTCAGTCCCGGCCTGTGCTTGCGTTGCGGACGCGCTCATCCCCACACGTGCGGCTTCCTCCGCGGTCATGTTGACAGTGCCTGCCACTGCTAAAGCATTTCTGTGCAAGGAGCACGTTGGAACTCGCCCGCCTGCACAGTGAAGCGCCAGCCGACTGCGCCCGCTGCGACTGCTGGCACGCCACACGGCTCCGCCAGGCTTCTCTGGCTGGGCCGGCTTTCCTGCAGACAATTATTCAATATTCAATTGCTTCCAAGCGTCATTTTACAAGGCAGAACAGTCTCTACAATTCCTTCGGTACTCCGCCGGCCTGACTCGGCTGCTTCATTTTCTTCTTGTGGATCAGCTTCAGGAACTGGTTCTAACGTCCTCACAGGGTAACGCTCTCTAACTCTTCTAATTATCCAGATTCCCAAACTCTGCAACTCCTTCGGCCAGGCACGGTCTGGGCCCGGGGGGCAGCACGCGAGGGTGGCTTCCGCATCAAGAGCTGCATATCTCCGAAGGCCTCTGATCTTTTGTTTTTAGTCTCATCAACAGAGAGATTCGCAAAAAAAAGAGACCATAAACCCTTTTGCAACAGGCTTTCCACTTCGCCCGGAGTTGGAGCAAGCAGCCCTAGCAGCAGACCATAAACCCTAAACCATAAACCCTAAACCCTAAACCCTAAACCAGCAGCTGGCTCAGCTGGCCTGGGCCGAGCGCAGGACCAGATCCGCTTTTAGAGCCAGCTCATCCGCGCCGGAGTGCTTCGGCAGCCTCGTCGGCTCGACGTTCTTCTATGTGCTCAAGAGCACCCATAATGACCATAATAATGACTAAAATAATGACTTCAAAGATGACGATCATGATGACTATAAAAGTGACTATAATAGTGGCTATAATCGTGACTATAATGCACCTGCAAAAGCCGAGTCGCTTGAACTCCACGCCCCGGACCACAGTCTCGCCAGGCCCAATCTGCGGCACCACGTCCACTTGAGAGGCCCGCGCGATACCATCCTTCTTTGGAGGCTGCCATGTTTTGTCAGATGTGGCTTCACATCTAAGACCGACCTCAAAATCTTCAAGCTGTCCATGCTTCGCGTGACACTTGGCCTTGGCCTCAACGAACCTCCGCCACCCGCAAATCTACACCATGCGAAGGCCTAAAGGCCACGAAGGAAGCTTCACAAGACCCGGAGCCATAAGTCACCAAAACCAAAAACCTAGCAGAAAAGTGTGGCCTTCAGAGAGCCAAGCATCTTTGTGCGACTGAAGCAGCTCGTAGGCTCCTCTGAGCGCTTGAAATGCTCCTGTGGATGTCTCGCCCTGCCTGCAACAATTTGAGTCGAGTTGTGCTGACAAGGAGTTGAAGATATCGCAAGAGATGCCGCCTTTGCTGCACATGCCTGCGCTACACAGTTGCAGGTGCAGGAGGCTCGTTGGCCTGTCTTGGCCCCACCTCTGTGTGAGATGCCAGATACCAACAACCAGGCATCAAGCCGGGTGCTTGATCCCTGCTCCCTGGCCTATACATGGGCAGAACTTCCAGAAGTGGTATCGATATCGTGCAATTGCCGCCGTGCCGATCTGTACAAGCACATTAAACGAGACAGCCACAGCTGTCCTCACCGAACTTTGCGAGCATCTGCGATTCAAGTGCGGCCAAGTGTTAAGATAAGCTGTGCATGAACCCCCAGAGGGGTTGTGACTGTTTCCAGAGACGTATATCTACCTACATCTCCAGAAAGTGGACAGCGAGACAGCTTTGATCCACTCAAAAGATGTCCCGGCCATAGACGGTAACTCAACAAATCAATGCGCAAACAACAAGTCATCCCTGGTGTGCAATGTGGAATCAGTCTTCGGTCGGCGGGGTTGTCTTTCTGCTGCCTGCTGGACATCATGGTCCTCCTCCGACCGGGGCTGAACCTCCACAAATGTGTGCCTCACGACAACTTTATGCTGAGATGACCTTCGCTGGGCCAGCTCAATTCGTCTGTTCAAAGCTTCACAACTCGAGCGAGGAATAAACCTTGGTTTCGAGTTGTCGTGGACATTGGGTGCCGTTGTTCCACCATTGGCATGGCGATATGCGGTCTTCTGCAAGGAGAATGCTTGCAAAAAGTGGGATCGGATCTCCATCCACTCTTCGCTCCGCACGATGCATTGATATGGAACAATCTTGCGTCCATCAAGCCTGTCGTAAACCACCACAGGGATGTTCAAGTTGCGCAGAAACCGCTGGAGGTATGAGGAGAAGCGGAATTTCTCGTCACCGACCATGCTCGGGTCGAAGCGAGTCCACCCAGTGAGGCCAAGCGCCTCACCTGCTGCGATGGTCACTGTGGACTCTGTCTCCTGACCGGCATCGCTGGGCAGGAATGGGAAGCCACGTTGCCAGGACTGGATTGTCAAGGTCACATAGGCTGCCTGATCGTGGCTGCGCAGCTCCTCCACCCCTGGCCGATTGAGCCACCACTGACACGTCCTCCTGCAAGACTCGATCAGCAGCTCGAAGTGGGTTGTGGCCCAACGTGCAAACTTGTCCTCCGACACGCTGAAAATTCCTGAAATGTGGAATTTCCCGTCTGCTTGCGGTCGACAGTGCAGCAGTCCTTAGTGCCATCAGCGTGCGCAACTCCAGAGCTCGGTGCTGAGAATTTCGGAAAGTATGGAAAACAAACAGCTCCTGCGCAGGCAGCAGGGCGTGGACGCAATGTCTCTTTGCAGACCAGTAGCCTTCCGGTGGCTCACCTGTGTAATGGAAGAGGCCGATGGCACAGTCTCCTTTCTTCGGGTAGTCGCGGGAAACTTTCTGCAAGGCTGTGCATGCCCCATCACCACTCGTAAAGGAGAACTCTACGTAAGGTCTGGCAAGCCTTCCAAACAAGACGGTGCAGAGCCGAAGCAATCCCCAGCTGCAGAAGCGCTTGATGACGGCCTCTCCAGGGCCCAACATCTCCAGCAGCTCGACCCGGCCGAAACGGTCTCCGCAATCTGCCTGGTGTCGCTCTCGTGTCTCTGGCCTCACGAAAACGCAGCTGGTGTCTTCCGGAGGATTCTTCACCACAACATCTTCAATCGAGCACTTGATGATGTGACCCCCCCAAGGGCAGTCGCAGTGGGACAGGGAACATCGTCCCTTGTCTATTGCAACCTCCCAGCCCTCATGGGAGAGCAGGTTTGGCACGAGCTCGAACCATTCCTCGTTGCACTCAGGTGGAACGGCCATGGTTCCTGCGACAGCGACGACCGCTGGAACTCTATAACTATAATTCCTTGAACCGCGAGAATTCGAGAATCTATGGATGATGTTCATGTCTCTTCCAACCAATTCTTCCGCAGTCTCAAATTCTGATCCAAGCCCGCATGCACCTCTGCGGTGCAAGCCCCTGCTCAACCGCCAGCCTGTCTGGATGCAGTTCCCGAGCCTTCCGGCGGTAGGCCTCCGGTTTATTTCGGCCCCGTTAGGCTCCGAATTAGGCTCCGTTTCCTTCGGCTCGCCCCTCCCCTGACTTTGGGTGCTTTGGGCCTTGGCCAAATCCTCCGTGGACGCGCTGTGGCTGAGTCCAAGCAGCTGCCTGAGGTCGACCAGGCTTTTGCTGGATTACACGATTCTCCCGCTAGGGCCCCTCAGACAGCCTGGCATTGTCCAAGGATAGAACCTTTTGCAGCGCTTTGAGGTCGGTGCCTCAGTTGCACTGGCTGCGAAATCCTAGGGTGATCAGCGACACTCTGTTCATCTGAGCAGCGAATTTCTCCGAGGGCACGTGCATAAGCAGCAAGGCGCTGAGCTTTTGCGCCTTCAAGGAATCCCTCAGTCTCCAAGGCACCTGGGTAAGAGATTTGCTTTTCGGATGGCGGGTTGCTGCTTTGAAGATCTCTCTGCGCCAGGACAAGGTGCCATCGTCTCTGCGACTCTTGATATCCAGCAGCAGTAACAGCTCCTGATCAGTCATCTCTCCTTGGAGGGTGCCATCCACCGAATTTTGCCTCCCTCCAAGAGGTCCCAATGCACTGGGCAACATCCTAAACTTCCCTGCGCCACTGTGCTCTTGCGGCAAGAGCCAGGAAGTCAAGAGGCTGCCCACATCGTCGTGTCGCGGAAGACGACATCCGCATTGGGCGAGACTTGCAGCTCGAAGAGTCTCCAAGAAGACGCTCGCATCCAGCAGCCTCAGCATGCTGTAAGTAACACCACCATATCACTGACACGGGGATCGAAGGACAGACCTGACCAATCGAGGTCGCAGCATTTGCTGCGAGCCGTCTGCAGCGGGGTGGGCCTGTTCCACACCAGCGTGCGGCAGTTGCTGTGCCGGCATACATGAATAGACACTTTTTTGCGGGCCAGAGACATGCTCATGCGAGTCCCCGCTGCCAGCCAACGGTTTTGCTGATGTTCAGGCCACGCAAAGCCCAGACCTCAACCCTGACCCCTCAACTCTTGAGCCCCTCGTCGGACCCGAAGCTGTAGGCGGCGGAAGGCCAGTGCCATCTGCAGGCTTCCACCACCGGGGTCCCGCATGCCGCCAGGTCCGAGGCCGATGCCTCTCCACGCTCAAACTTGACTCGGAAGAAGCACGAGATGCGTGCGATGGCATGGCGTGGGCTGCAGTCCAGGCGCCGCCGATGAACCATTGATGAGCATTTGCGAGCGCCTCACTGTCCGGGCAAGCACGACCGGAAGTTGGGTGATATGATGAAGAAGACTTCTGACAGGTCGCCTGTGCCGGCTTCTCCTTGGGCTGAGCAGGCAAAAGCCCTTCCAAAGTCCTCGCATCCTTGGCTGGATTCCAACAAGCAGGCTCCGCCGAATATCGCTACACATCCTTGGAATATCGCGACGGACACCCCACGCAGCAGAAAGGTGAGTGGGACGGCTTTGGCTGCACACTGCTGGCAAGTGACCTCACAACTAGGCTTCTTAGTGTGTACTTGCTGTGCGGGCGTCTGAGCGCATGGAAGGAGCACCGCCGGCCAAGAGCGCAAGCAAGGACGACTGCGACATCAGCTCGATGTGCTCTGCAAGCACCTTTTCTGCCTCTCGATTTCCCGAACTTAGTTCCTACCAAATCACAGCAAAATCGCGGCACCTTAACGACCCCTGGAACAGCGCAAGCAAACATAAACGCGGCATTTCAAGTCTATCAGAGGGACCCCCTCGAAGGAGGGGTTGGCGGGACAGGGGTCGGAAATAGGTGGGCCACCTATTTCCGGTGAGTTTGGGGGTGGGGGGGTTGGAAGCGCGATGTCGGACAACGTCCTAAATAGATCAAGGGACGGAAATGTGGCCCCTCTGAACTACTCTTTTTTGCATCTGGTTTGCGGCAACTCAACCAGGACAGAAACAGGAGGCACACCCGAAGCCCACAGCTTTAAGCTAGAAGCCTTCGGACTCGAACCAACCATGTCTCTGGAATGATTTCACAAATGACGACATTCTTCAATTGTTTGATTGACTCGGTGGAAACACCATGTAGGGCACTGCAATCGTCTTGAGTGAGACCGAATTGGTGCGCAAAAGGATTGTAAAGCATCCATATATGACTTACGAAAAGAAGGAAGCAAGACTGTGACAAGCCATCCAGGTGGAGNNAGCTGGCAGACACCTTCACTCGTATCGATCCACACGACCTCTTGCCACAACAGAACTACTCTGCTTCTGGAATCTTCTAGACTCAGACCCAAGTTGAGATAGATTTTCGTGCAGTTAGTTTGAGTGGAAGGAACGGGGGCACTCTACGGTCCACGCGGACCTTGATAAACAAGTCCCACAACCTCGCCCCAGCACCCAACTCCAACGTAGGCATATTTGACTGGAAGGGAAACGGGGCACCCAACCGTCCATGCTCATGTGGCCCCTGATGTACGAATTTCACAATCCCGCGCCTGCATCCACTGCA